TCTATATGGAATACTCAATTCTTGGCTTGCCGGACGTGCTCGAGACCCCAGCTGGTCTGGTGATGCCGAATGCCGTACCAGGAAAAGCAAAGCGTATAGAATTAAACTACTCACAAAGTGAGACAGTAAGAGAGGATCTGCTAATACCTTGATTCATTTCGACGTAGTATCCACAAATTGATCATATTGACCTAGATATTTCTGCGATTATGCGTTGAATTGCATCATCAGACATTAGTTTTCCACTAGTTAGTTCCAGAACATATTCGAAGCTTTGGCTATGTCTCCTTAATGTCAATTCCAACATTACTACTGGTGAAATCTATGTAAATATGTCTAGCTAGGGGTCCCATCATGAACTACAAAATGAAAGACGCATCATGAGGTATTTTCTTAAAGTCTCCAAGTAAATATGCTAGATCTGAAGAAAGGAATAAGAGCCTTTTCTAAACACCAATAGTCACACTATCTTGGGCTTCGTATTCACACAAAGATTTGTTGCCAGAGTTTGTACTTTGATCCAGGAAACTTAGAATTGCTAGCGAAAAGTCATCCTTAACTTTTAGTACTGCTTTTTCATTTTTTCTGCTAATAACTTTGCGATTATGTAAGTGGTCTGATCACGTCTTCGTAAATTGGTGATGACCTAGTTGGATACACCTTATCCGAAGTCTTCTGCTATAATATGTATCATAATTCCAAGCGTTGGACCGTAGACTTGGTACATTTCAGACATTTCGCCGGCATCGTCAGTGAATCTTGCCATTCCAGGCACCAAGCTACATCTCCTCAAAGAAACAGATGAAGTCAATCCTTTGACCAACTTTTTTTCGAACGGTCGTGCTATCATTCCTCTTTCTGTCTTGGCATATCTTATTCCTTTCCCATCACAACTTCTGACTTTTTTAATATTTGATTCCTCTATCGGCGTGCTCTTCTTGGCGAGTTTAGTTTGGCGTCATCACACCTGCTCTTTACATATAATCCCCTGGCGATCTGCTGATCCGTCTCAGACCTATGGCAGAGGCCTTCGGACAAAGTGCTTACAATTATTTGTCCTGACAACATGACCAAGTTATGAAAAGTCAGACCACTTCTATACCTTGAAAGCAGACTGTGACCAAAACAGAGTTCTCAACATTCTGGTCTTCCTATATTTACGTTTATGGTCGAAAATTTTTTAATTGTCTTACATGATCAGTAACTTTGCAGTGACCTTACTTCACAATCAGTTTGGCTACATTTCAAGGTCACCTCTCGACTCAACACACCACCAACGGAGCACAAAGAGGAGCATGACTCACCGGCACTGTGTCCCACGGGGACTAGGCGAACCTGGTCACCATATTGAGCCTCTCCTCTGAGCCAATCAGGACGTGGCACTAAAAGTATACAAAAGTATTTTAAGTCGGCAACTAGCTTGACTAAAAAGACTGAAGCGCCTCCCAGATTGTCCCGCCTTGCGCCGTCATGAATCTTGGTGACCGAACGCCGCCCTCTTACCCCAAAACCACGCTCCAACATCGTCTGAGTCCTACACACATCGAGGTCCTCGTCTGTAACTTTCCTTCTTATATACAAGACGCTATGTGACTCGTTTTTCTTGTTCTTCTATACAAGGCTGTGGTATTCTATACAATAGCGCAAATATAAGCACACATCTATAGTGATTATTCGAAGGTATGAAGACCAAGACAGTGTGGCCTTTTGTGTGGTCGCAGTCTCCTTTCACTGTCTGGGAATGTACCACGTCCACGGTCCGACTGAAAATGATTATGCATACAATGGACTCAGGAGAAGGTGCGTTCCTCTGAGTCTTCCTACCAATATGACCAAGTTGCCAAAACAAGGTTAAACAACTTCTATAGTGATTATTGTTTTCTGATTCAATAAAACTTAAATGTAATATGTGTTCGGCTAAGGCGCAAGTCCTCAGATCGCATATTTTATTCCAACCTTACCATAATTTTACATATAATGCGTATAACATTAAACTATAAAATGAAGTTATAAAGACCAAGATGTTGTGGCCTCCGGTATGGTCGCAGTCTCCTTTCGATTTATAGAAGTGGGTTGACCTCGTTGTCGCAACCTGGATCTACGAGACAATGAGGGGATCCGGATTGGAGGCCCGAGTCGGATCAGTCGATCGAAAGAGAAGGGGTCGGGGTGAATAGCAAGTGTGCTGAGGCCACATAAGCTTTGCCACAAAAGGGTACATATTTTGATGAGTGGAATGCAAACAAATCAGAAATTGTGATAGGCCGGTACTGGGATAACAGAGTAAAGAGTAGATAGATAGGCCAGGACAGAAAGAGTGATAGCGTAACCGTTTTCGGCAGAACGTTTGTCGAGGGATTGACTTCACTTCTGCCTTTGACAAGTTCGTAGCTTGGTGCGGAGAATGGCAAAACAAACTGATGTTGCCGGCGAAACGTTTGAGAATGTACCAAGTCGACTGTCTGATGCTGGGAATCATGACAACTACTATGGCAGACGACTTCGGACAAGGTGCATTCTACTAATTCGCCCTGACAACAAGACCAAGTTGCGATCAGGTCAACCCACTTCTATAGGATAAAGTCTGCTTCATTTCGGCTTTACGAACTGGCCAGCAGATAAATTAGGCAAACTTATTCCCAAAAATAATGGGAAAGACTTTCGTCGGTCTAAAGCTAGGTTTTTCCCAATACTTAGAAAAGGTTATATAATCACTAAATTAACTAATTATTTTCAACCTGACTAATGGTTTATAATCTCTGGCCCCACCCAGATCCATGCAAACTTTAGCACTTTTATGTCGTCTACTTGCTTTCTATCTTGTTTCCCCAGCCTTCCCAGTTGACTTTACCCATAACTATCAGCGTCGACAATATCTGGCCAGCATGTTACTACCAGATGACCCTTCTCAGGGGCGCATAACTTTCACTCTAGTAAAAGAGCCGCTTCCAGAAGAGGAAGGTGATTGTGAGGATGTTGGGGTGGCCTACCTGAACGTTCGTGATATTTTGCACTCAGGACACGATATAGTTAACCAGAGTGTACCAGGTGAGCAATCAAAAAATTTAAATCGAATAAACCTTAGAGTATTAAGAAATAGATTTTGTCACTGATGAATTATGATGAAAAACTAAGTTAGTAAATTAAATAAACAATTTTTGCCAAAAAATAAGCATATAGAAACGCCTTAATACATTTTGCCATTTATATGCTGCTACCAAGGTGAATTTACGACATTGCCGAATCATTACTTATATGCAGTTGCTCCAAAGTTTTTAGAGGTTTACAAAATCTAACCACCTTAAAATCGAAATGTTTAAGGCTCAATAAGGACTCTTGCTGAATTCCCTACAAAATCCAAATTGCACGTTAAGATAGTAAACCAGTAGTGAGCACAAATTCATATATGGTGAAATTTTTTGAAAATTTCTATGCGGCAAAATTATCAAGTTAAGGCATAGGAAGAATTTCATTAAATGGCTAATTTGGTCATGACTTATTGAATAATGCCCTCCTCTTCGGATATCATATAGCTTAGATAGCGAAGGCTGTTTTAATTCTAGTCCTAAATTCCAAAGCCATGGCTCCGCCTGTCTGATGGGAAGATAGTATAAAGCTTTTCCCTTTTCTATATTTGTCTGCATCCCAAGAGCTTTGAAGCCTTCAATAGTCTTTGAGATTGACTTAGAAAACCCACGTTCATTACCAAGATGCAAAGACCAGTTCACTTATCCTACTTTTGGAGAAAGATTAACATGTATTAAAGTTGCCGCCATCTTTTTGCTTGATTTAGCAACGCTATGTACTACGTGTGAAGGCGGAATTTATGATGGAAGCTATGAGAAAAGTGAAAAACAGTTAGGCCAGTGAATTGCAATCCAAATACACCATAATTTAGAGGATTACCGATCAGCCCCTGAACATTATACGCTAGGAAGGCAGCGAATATTTATGTTATCTCTTAGATCTCCTGCAAGTAAACTGCAAGCCGACGAAAATATATCAAAAGTTCACAGGGCGATCCCTGAAAACTGTCTCTACCAGTTAATTTTTTTACTATTACTAATCTACACTAAATTAGGGAGTGTTCTGTTATCAAATATAGTAGCTAGTGGCGTATCTGATGAATACTCATAAATAC